GGGGAATGAGTTAGCTGACACCTCCAAATGAAAGTCTACAAAACTCGAATTAAATAAAATAGATGTAGTACAAAGTACGGACCTCACACCTTGCGATCACGACGCTGGGCGGCGTCGCCACCAGCACCGCAGGTCAGCACTGCCATCTCTGCCCAGCAGCAGAGCCTACCAGGTTGGTCGGGTGAAGGTGGCCCGGTAGCCCGGGGGCGAGCAGCCTCTTGCAAGGCCATCTGTTATCCAGATGGAGCTCCGAGCGGGAACAAAAGCCGGTGTCCTCTTCTGCAGGCCCCTTGGGGGAGGCGGGAAGACACCACTTGCCTCGCGCTGCGAAGGCATCCGTGTGACCATGGGAACTGCAGGGAACTCCTGGGCTCAGAACCGATCCGCATAAAGGGAAACGCGAGGCTGGCAGACAAGCAGCCTGCACAGAAAGGACCACGGGGCGGATGAAGCCAGGCCCTGGGCACACCGAGAGCCCCTGATGGCTCAGTGCTTGGCCCTGTCCACGCTGCGCCCTCAGTCCGTGCTGTAGCTGCCGATCCCTCAGGGATGCAGATGGCTTTGCGGTCCTCAGCGCTGCAGCTGCTGGATCGCTCAGAGGTGGAGCTCGTGTCGCTCTCCTCCCCGCTGTGGCTGCCCAGTCCCTCAGGGATAGAGATGACTATGTTGTCCTTAGCGCTGTAGCTGCCGGATTGCTCAGAGATGGAGCTGTCTTCGCTGTACTCCGAGGTGTAACTGCCAGGTCCCTCGGGCATGGTGATCGTGACGCTGTCCTTGGCAGTCTTGCTCTCCAGTCCCTCAGGGATAGAGACTGATATGCTGTCCTCCTTGCTCTCCCTGCCATGTCCCTGCAGGATGGAGATCGCCCCTTGCACTGCATGCAGCGACCCAGCGGGTGGTGCAGAGCAGGCCGAGGAAGATCCCTCTGCCAAGGACTGAGCTTGCCTAGGCTGGCCCTTGAAGGTTTCCCCTTGAAAGCAACACAAAGGTTTCCACCGTTAGGCAGGGCATTTTTCACACAAGAAACTACCCAGTCTGAAAACAAGTGCCCTCCTCACTACTTTCTCTCT